ATTGAGTTTATTAATCTGAGATATACGTCTCATACTAATATGCCCCAATCTTCTGTGCCAGACCCATTGCTCATCATTAACAGACAGAAGGCATTTTATGTTCTGAACCTTAAGTTCTGAAAGATTGATTTTATAAATGTTGTTCTTCCTCTTTTCATTAAATAGGATTTAGCCATCCTTTTGACTGACAGCCTTGCAACATTTTTGATTGAAGATTATGTCATAACCATTGTCACTTGATTGACTTATGGACAATAAGTTATGTGTTAATCCTTCAACTAGTAAGACATTAGAAATGGAAGGAAGATTACCATTGCCAATAGTTCCAGAGCCAACTATCTTGCCTCTTTGGTTCTCTCCAAGCTTGACGTCTCCTCCAGATCTAAGTTCCATGCTTTGGAACATAGACCTTTTTCCCGTCATGTGACGCAAGCAGCCAGAGTCCAGGTACCAAGATTGGTGTTTTGACTTTGCTGCTAAAGATGTCTGCAACAAATATTATTTTGTCTTTAGGTACCCAGATCTTTTTGGGTCCTTTAGGGTTAGTTGCCTTAAAGTTTTGTCTGAACTTCTGTCTTCTGACAGCAGGTTTGTTCTGACTAACTTTAGGTTTAAATAGAGGAATGTTTTGACCAGAACGTGTGTTTTTAATATCATTAAGATGGCCAAACTTAAAAGTAGAATACAGAGGAGTATGCTTAATGATTAGTTTATCAACAGATGTTGGATTTAAATCTTTCTCAGAAGAAGATTCATATCCAATACCCTTCCTTTTATTTCTGCTAACACCATAGATCATTGAAGTCATCTTGCTTCTCTCTAGGCTTCTTACCAGAAATCTCTGAAAACTATAGTCATATTCTTCTAAAATGTTTTTAGATTTTGACTTAGTTTCAACTTCAGAATCTTGTTGAGCTTTTTCTAATTCAATTTTAATTTTCAAATTGTTTGCTTTGAGCTCAACAACTTCTGATTTCAGAAGATCATTCTCAGATACAAGATTGCTTTCAAGCTTCTTGTGCTTGAGCTTAATCTTACTATAGTTTTCTAACATTTCTGATAAACCCTCAATAAGCTCTGCTCTAGAAAGTTCAGAAAATACCTCCTCAGAATCTGATTCTGATTTTGATTCTGATCCAGATGATTCTGTATGGTCTTCTACGTCAGCCATGAGTGCCATGTTTGCATATTCTTCATCTGAGTCTGATGAAGATTCAGATGCATCTGAATCATCCCAGGTTGCCATCAAAACTTTCTTTTTATGATCAGACTTTCTTCTTGGCTTCTCCTTCTGAAGCTTTGGGCATTCATTCTTGTAGTGCCCATGTTCCTTGCATTCATAGCAGACAACCTCTTTCTTTCTAGATCTTCTGTGTCCAGAAGACTGTTTACGTTGATCTGGTTTCTTGAAATTCTTGAACTTCCTCCGTTTATGCTTCCAGAGTTTGCTGATCCTTCTGGACAGCAGGTACAATTCATCTTCTTCTTCAGAAGAAGATTCTTCAGAACTTTCTTCTAAAACCTGCAAAGCTTTGGCAGATTTGTTAGACTTTAAAGCAACAGACTTACCTTTTTTCTGGGGTTCGTCTTCTTCTAGTTCAATCTCATGACTCTTCAGAGAGCTAATCAGTTCCTCCAACGTGATCTTGTTCAGATCCTTAGCTAGCTTCATAGCAGTGACCGTTGGTCTCCATCTGATTAGAAAACTTCTGATGATCTTCTTAACATGATCTGCAGTGAAGTAACCATTGTCCAGAACTTTCAAGCCAGCTGTGAGAATCTGGAATCTAGAGAACATAACTTCTACAGATTCTGATTCCTCCATTTTGAAGGCTTCATATTTCTGGATCAGCGCCAGAGCCTTGGTCTCCTTGACTTGAGAATTCCCTTCATGAGTCATCTTCAAAGATTCAAACATACCAAATGATGTTTATCTGTTAGTAATCTTCTCATACTCAGTATGAGATATAGCATTTAGTAGTATGGTTCTTGCTTTATGATGATTCCTGAATTCTTTCTTCTGAGCTTCAGTTATAGATTTTATGTCTATCTTTTTGCCATCCCTATCAGTGGGGTGAACATAGCCATCAATGACTAAATCCCAAAGGTCAGCATCATATCCTAAAAAGAAACTTTCAATCCTGTCTTTCCAGTAGTCAAACTTCTCCCCATCAAACATAGGGGGTTTAGTGCTGATTCTATCTCTGTCCTCATATCTGTTGTTGTTGGGTGTTGAAGCTTCAACCATAATGTATCAACCAAAATATATCAAGAGTTTTCTCAACTAGATCTTTTCTGTTCACGGTGAAGTGAGAGCACTAACAGAACCGGAGCTCTGATGCCAACTGAAGGTGAGAAAAACACTTGGAAGGGGGGGGGGGTTGAATAAGGGTTTAGAAAAGATTATAGCAATAAAAACACAATGATTTTTATCCTGGTTCGTTGAACTCAACTAATCCAGTCCACCCTATCAAGAGTGATTTGCCTTTCTCTACAAGGACTTAATCCACTATATTCAAACAGATTACAGTGTCTAACACTAAGAACTACTGACCACAACTTGGTCTTCTTAAGGAACCTTTATAAATAAATGTAAACTAACAAGTGTGTTTGAGTTTGCTTCTAACAAGCTTTAATCACAACTGTGATTTTTTACACATGTATTAAGAACGAAAGATAAAAATATTCAGCTTTGAATGATTGTATGAGAGTTGAGAATGATTTCAATTGATTCAATTTCGTCAACTTTAAAGAGATGTAGAAGACGTCCTTTTATAGTGCTGAAAGTCCAATGCTTGAAGACCGTGCAAGTAGAGTAGCTGTAGCCTTTTGTCTTCACATGACTTTTCCTTTCTCACAAGTAAAATGTCCAGAGAAATGCCTTTTGCCTGAATCCTTGTGTCTATCATAAATAAGGAATAGTTCCGTTAGAGAGGACGTTGAGGATAGTACCAAGTCTATTCACGTGCTGACATCTTTTCAAACGTAAACAACATCAGATCCTCTGATGTGCTTCTTGTTCTTCAGATCAGATTCAATGATATCAGAGTTGCAGCAACAGTGCTTTAGCGTGAGTGATCTGATCAGAGCATAACTGTTTTTCAGAGCCTCTGTACTTGCAGCGTAAAGTACATTCAGAGTCTTCTGAAACAATGCTTTAAACTCTTCATACAAACTCTTCAGCTACGCTTCAGATGCTTCTGCAGCTTCTGCTTCAGAGTCTCTTCTGGCAGCGATCAGAGTCTTCTGATGGCTTGCTTCTGATGCTTCAGAGCTTTGCGTAACTTGCTATCCAGATGCATTTTTCTTCCATAATGATATTTATTTTAATATCTGAAACACAAAACACTTGAACAAAATTAGAGTATATATTTTCTTAATACAAAATTTCATTAGAGTTATCATCAAAACATAGCGATATAATTAAACACCAATATGTGTTCTAACACTGAAGACGTAAGACCTCTAAACAAATCAATGTATTTTTTATATTAATAATTTTATGATCTAATATTTTTCTCTTTTTCAGTTCATTTGGCGTCTATATCTAAACATGGAACACCTACATGAAGTCAGAGAGGAAGATGCAGCCGTTTGGACTGCATGCGTGCCAATCATCAAATTCACCAATGTAGAGATGCACAATAGTTACCGTACCAAACTACAATTTAGAATGCATCAAAATATCCCAGATCCCCCAGTTGACCTCGATAAATGGCATCTAAAAAAAGTTATGATCAATGAGACTATCCCGATTGGAATAATTTTGCAAAACCTAAGTGTCGTAAATGGAGGAACTGCAACACCCATGTCTTACGTGGCCCGGTGATGGCAACCCCGTCTATACCAACTAATAACTATATGGCTTGGTACATATCGGTTACAACTGGGTTTGTCTCCGAAGAGAGGTATCTATACGATCCGCGACAAACCACCTACACACAATAAACTTTAACTTCTAACCCACCGAGAAATTATCGGCCATGTTACTCATAACCCACTACCCAACAGAATTACCAACCCACTAACACACAAACATACCATCCAAATATGCCAAACACCCAACCACAATACCAAAAGCGTTCCTCATACCATTTCTAACAAAATGACTATTGTCAAGAAACCCAATATGGTTATGCCCCTAACACAACATCAATATATAACCAAAATGAGTGTACATCATACCATAGCCATAACACCCAAACATTTTTCCATAGCCAAACGCTCAGACATCATACCCTAGCATACACACATAAACATCCCAACAACCTTTATGACTTTCAAACACCACTACCATTTTAACCTTTCACCAAAATCTTTCACACTAATGTCCCCTTTCAATCGTCCAGGCTGCACACCAATAACACCTTCATCACATCCCAACTACTCTGGCATGGGTCGCACACTTAGTTTCAACACACAAGACCTCATGGAAATACAAAAAATTCTTAGGGAATCAGCTGGGAATTTTCCTGAGACTTCAACTCCTCAAACACCTGGAGTGAATCAACAACGAGAAGAACAAGTGCAAATAGTGAGAGTGCATAGGGGATGTGGAACCAGTGGCTGGTATGATCAACCTGGTCGCCAACATTAATTTATGTAATATTATTTTTAATTAATGATTAATGTTATTTATTTTTGTTAAATTTTTTTTCCCAATGCATCCTGTCTCCATATCAATTGGCGTCTCTCTTTTAATATTAACACCCTGTCATCAATTGAATTGACAACACTATATAATGTCTTCAATCCAATTGACAACACCTCTAAAACTTATAAAATTATCGTCAGTTGATATGACGTAACCTATTTATCACACTTTCAAAATAGGGTACTTTGAAGAGCAAAGTATTTTGAGAGTTTTTTTTGAAAAATTTGATTATTTTGGTAAAAATTTCACATATATCTAAGAAAAATAAAAATAAAACATTTGGAGTATTTTGTATGAGAGGAAGTAAGATTTATATTTGACCAAGTGAACGAAATCAAAACCGAATATGGAAAACAAAACGAAGGAGAAGGCTTCATCTTTAAGATGGAAAATCCTTCGTCGAGCTCTTGTCTCCAATCCCTCTCCTCCAAATCCAGGTAATTTCATTTTCATCAAATTTCGCTCCCAAAATGCTTCTATAACTTGTATTGAATCTTCTTTACATTTTTATTTATAGACGAACAATCTCAATTGAGTATCAAACGCATTTCACGGAGAACCACTCACGGATTCAACTTGATACCCTCTCATGTAATCGATGATGAACATAGTTCAAATAACTGCAATGGTTCTTCTTCCAAAGATGCTAGAGTTTGTTATACTTTGCCAATACCTAGCGCTCCTCAACTGTTTTTGAGGTGAGTTTTGATCACTGTCATGGATAGGCTCTTGTATCTCCTTGTTAGCAGTTTAAAAGGAACATAAGTTTCGGGGTTGAACATTATCTATTGCTATATTTTATTTATGCAGGCAAAGAGTTGACAACCATACCGACCTCAGTGATTTTCAGACATGTAATAGATATAACATTGACAATACTGGGCTTGTCTGTACGTTTCTTTGCCATCCTCACGACTCATAACTGCATCTTAGATTTTTTTATTTTCTTTTCTGAGCTTACAGGGACTGATAGTATTTTCATAAAATATTCTCATCATTTTTTTACTCAGAATGTGGTGTAACTTCATGCTATTCTATTGTCAGTGCAGAGTAGTTGCACCGTTCAGAATTAAGTGATCACGAGCTTTAAGGTTGTTGTCTAGGTTTTTATTCTATATTGAAGGGGAGTCTTTAGGACTTGAAACAATTACATTTGTTGTGCAGTACATGCTACGGTTTGCTGTATTAGGTTGGAGTGTAACCCCCCACGTTTTAAGGACTTTCAGTCTTAATTGCTGTTTTGGGATAATATTAGGCAACTGGCTTCTATGTTGCATAAATCACATGGTTTTTTTAAGGGCTTCCCTTGTAAATATCCAGTGGTATTTGGATACCTTTGCTTCGTTGATTTTTCTGCTGTTATTTTTTATTTCTTCAATTTATTTTATGGGTTATAAAGGCTCCTTTTAATTACTTGTCACTTGCTGATTGAAGCTCAATGGGCCAGGAGTTTTGGTACCAATTGATAAAAGTCATAAAATATTAGAGAACACAAACAAAACACTTCTTATTGTACCAAATAAGGCTTATATCAAAAGTAATATAAAACTTTTGTCTGTCTAGGAAATACAAGAGTGCAAAAATAAATACAAAGGAAGAAGATAACAGAAACTTTAGGCAGTTTGAGAGGGTCTAATCTCTTCCAAAAGTCCCACCACACTCCCTCCTAATCAACCCTCATCTTCTAGCTCAGTAGTTAGTTATCCTAGGAAATAGAAATATCCTTTTATTTCTCTCGGTTGTGATTCCTGTACCACACCTTTTTTTTTTTATCTTCTTTCGTAGACTTCAATTATGTTAGATGCTCTACCCAACGGCATATAGAGATTTTCAAAGATGATGAACTAGCCTTGAAGACCTCACCCTAAAAGCAACAAATCTGCAATTGTGCACCTTTTTGACTCAAATACGGTAAAATCTATTGAGTTTAACTTAAATACCTACCATGACTAGAAGAATACCCTTTATACAGTTAAGAGTAACCATGTATGGCACATCTGAGAGACTGGATAGACAATTTATCTAAACTAGGGGTAAGTTTATGGACAAAACAAGTATACACAAAGACACTGGCGTAATGGGGGCAAAGCCTGATGAGGAATAAAACATAATGGGTGTACTTGGTTATCAAGAATAAAGGATGACATTTAATTATTGAGATTACAAGCAGTAAGAACAATATTCCCTTAAAATGAAAAGGAACTTTTAAGTGGATTAGTAGTGTCTGACTGAGCTATTTCAACAAGGCAGTGTTTCTTGCATTTAGTAGCCCCATTTTGTCGAGGGGTGTGAAATGAACACATGATGTTTGATGAAGAAGGACATGAGATGCTGCGTCATAAAGTTTTAACATTACCTAGATAAACTATTATAACTATCAATGCATAAGGTACGCATGACAACATCAAACATTCTTTCCTATCTCATAGTAAAATTGCTGGAAAATGCAAAATAATCCAGACCTATTTTATAACTGATAATAACCATGTACAATTTGATTAACTATCATTGGATGTAAGAAAGTATCTGAATTCCAAAGTTTTGACTTAGTATGACTAGGAGACCGAGTTCCACTATGGACTTGATTAGGAAACAAACTACATGTGTTTCTTGAGTTAACACTGCTCATAAGATGGAGTTGAAATCTTGGTCAAGGTTCGCATTAATTGTTGTAACTTTGTCAGGATAGAATTACCTGGTTCAGCATGTATTAGAAGAAGGGGGAATCTATGGCATTGCCAATGCCAAGGTAGTTGCTGAGTTGATCGAGGTCGTTAAACTCACATCTAATGCCCAATCATCTAACCTGAACTTTGATCACGCTAGAAAATGAATCTCTAGTAAAATATTGGAAACTGTTAAGAGTCCCACATCGGACAATATATGGCATGAAGATGTGTTTATAAGTGGGGGTAATCCTCACTCTACCAACCGGTTTTGTAGGGTTGAGTTAGGCCCAACCACACTTCTTAACATGGTATCAAGAGTCTCGTTTAAGATCCGGTGGGCCACCTTCTATGGTTTCCGCTATCGGGCCACCCACCATTTATTTCCACGCTTCAGTTGTCCAATCCTGAGCGTGAGGGGGTGTGTTAAGAGTCCCACATCGGACAATATATGACATGAACATGTGTTTATAAGTGGGGGTAATCCTCACTCTACCAACCGGTTTTGTAGGGTTGAGTTAGGCCCAACCACACTTCTTAACAGAAACAATCAAGAGAGAAGTTTAAGCGGCTAATAAAACATAAATTAATTGGAAAACATGGAACAAATAATAAATAATCAACCGGAAGAGAAAGGAGAGGATGGCTAATACCAACTTGTTTGGACTTTTTTTTGGGAATCATTAGCTAAGTAACCACGTGAAATTATTCCGGGGATTTATTTCTACAGATGTGATCAACGGCACTAGAATCCTGAACCCAAGTACCAAGAGATGATGATTAGAAATACAAGCAAACAAATTACAGTTGTGTACAATAGAGGTAGTGGAGCCTAAACAGATGCTCTACAAACCATCTCAAACTATCACCATAGCCACTAGATGTTGTAGGATTAGTTTATGTAATGGGAGGTTTTCGAAAGTCATTGCCCATGGTCGCAATGGGCACTGCAAAATGCACTGAAGCATGCATCAGCTGGAATAAGTATGTGCAGCTTGGACATTATCTCACAATGCAGTACACTAAGTAAACCAAAGGGAGATGATCTATGTAGAGGACCTCAGGTCAACCAATGTTCAGATGGCGGCTGCCTGAACAGAGCAGACACACATGGCTGATAGTGGCTGCGCAAAGGTTAAGACTGCAATACTGTTTGTCACATGTAGGTGCATCTAACGGGGATGCTGCTGGCCAGAAAAGTCGCTGGACAGTATCAGATGGTAGCCAGAACAGTCTAACAGTGGTTAGACCAGATTTTTGGATTGCTGGAATGAGGATATGTAAGTGGAGACCAAAAATCTTAGAAAATCCAGTTTCTGTAGAAAACAATAATTGGTACTGACGGGCTGTGGGCTCACCGGGATCATGGATCAAAGTTGGCTCTTTTTGGGCTCTAGATATCATGTTTAGTAAGAAAGACAGGTGATGAAATCTGTGTTCTTACACAAAGAAGCTTGTCCCACGCGCTACAAAGATTAACATTATCCTATTTACTATATATGATTATATGATATTGTGTAACCATAATTACTCTATTTGCATTATTTCTAAATGTGCATTATTTCTAGTCAATCCAAATTTCTATAGCAATTATGTAGATAAGGTTATTCTTTAAAAACATATTTTAGAATTTAGAGCATATTTCATGGCTAATCGAATAAGATTTTGTCTGCTATTAAGGTTTTTTGAATTCACTAGAGGGAGCATTGATTTTTTGCCTAAATATTCTGATGTAAAATAATAAATAAATAATTTTTTAAGTACTTTAAATTTAAGCTGTATTTAGAAGAAAATGAATCAAATGCCAATTGGTTGTACATTTTGGATGAAAAAACATAGGTGATTTCTATCACTTAAAATTTTCACAGTTTGTGCTTATAAATTCATGATCTCCTCTGCAGGTAATTGGCCATCAGAAGATGTTCTTGCTCATTATTGCTTGTCACATAGAGATATATTCAGGTTTGAGGATCTATATTTTTTCTTTCATGAAGATTTATTCAGCTTTGAATAACTATTGTTATACTTTACCTCATTTGTTCTGTGTATTGCTAGCATCATTTTGACTGTTATTTTTCTGTGACCTCAGACTGGTATGATTTCTTTTAGGTCTAAAAAGGTTATTGAGCTTGGTTCTGGCTATGGGTTGGCTGGATTTGTTATTGCAGCTGTTACTGAGGCATCAGAGGTTACAATTTCAGATGGAAATCCACTAGTAGTTGATTGTATCCTTTTGCTATAGTTATTGATGACAATATTTCTTAATTTCTTATGTTAGTTAAAGCGATAGTTAATTGGTTAGTAAGAATTCAATACTTGTTCCATAAATAGATGCGAGGAAGGGAAAAATATTGTCTTCTTTTTGGTATAAATTTCAACCAAGTCGTTTTTATTCCCTTTACATTCTTGGTGATCAACATGAAACAACTGGATTAAGATTTGGTGATCACCTTTTCGATTATTTTATTCATTATGGGTGTTAGGTGTCTTATGTGTAACATGATTTTTCTAAAATCTAACTACTTTTTTGACCAGTATTTGCAGTGGATGTTAGTAAGCCTTATATGTATAAAATCTAATTATATAATATGTTGATGCCATCATTAGCTAACATGTTTTTCCCTAAGCCTTATTTGAACTCATTTGTGAGTTGTCACGCTGTTACCAGGACAGATATACTGATTAGTTGTAGTCTTGTAGACAACACAGTGAGTGACTTTGAACATTCTATCAGAGCGTGGTAGTTTACCTATCAGATGAGTTTGGTGGCATTTTTGTGATATCTTGTGTCCTTTATAGACATGTATGTCCTACTTTTGTGAATATGGAAGTAATTGACCAAGTGTTGGCATTTACTCTTCCTCTCAACTTCAGTTGTTTTAGTTTTACTTATGGAAAGGAAAAAACCACTCAAAAACTAAAATTAATTATTAAAAAATTATTGTAATTAATTTTTTTGTTCAAGTAGTCTAGTGGCTGGAATTCATCTTTTAAAGGTGAACAAATAGGATGACGCAGGTTCGAATCCGCGCTCCTGCATTTGATGTCCCCGCACAACTACCAGCTGAGCTGGTTTAACGGGACAATTATTGTCATTTGATCCTGTCTCATGCATGTATATGTGTATGCCCTGATAGACAAATTGGTTGTGTAAGTCTAGCCTTGACTGTCCTATGTAGTTGTATAATTAGGATTATGTCGACTCATGAGAGTGTGTTCTCACTTGATACATCCCTATATAGTAACATTTAAAAAAAAACCATGTATGGCATGGCTGCAAGTAGTGAGATCTCTAAGCAAAAGTATCAGCAACCGTCGCTTGTTTTACATTGCTTCTGCATTGAATACTGTTTGTTCGCATGGAATGTTATCCCTTTTGAGAATATGCCTCATTAAATATTTTCTTGTCAAATGGACTGCTCTTCCATGACAAACAGATACTCAGCGTAACATTGAAGCTAATTCCAGAGCATTTGGGAATACAGTTGTGAAATCAATGATGCTTCATTGGAATCAAGAAGATGTTTCTAGTGTTGCAGACAATTTTGATATCATTGTTGCAAGTGATTGGTAAGACCTTTAAGATCTTTATTTGAATTTCCGGAAGATATTTCTAGTGTTGCTGACAATTGTAATATCATTGTTGCAAGTGATTGGTAAGACTATAAGATCTTTATTTGAATTTCCAATTTTCAACTGTGGTATATGTATGCATACTTTGTTAAGAGTCCCACATTGGACAATATATGGCATGCACATGTGTTTATAAGTGGGGGTAATCCTCACTCTACCAGCCGGTTTCGTAGGGTTGAGTTAGGCCCAACCACAATTTCTTAACATGGTATCAAAAGCCTCGTTTAAGATCCGGTGGGTCACCTTCTATGGTTTCCGCTATCAGGCCACCCACCATTTATTTCCACGCTTCAGTTGTTCAGTTGTAGGGGTGTTTCCGCTATCAGGCCACCCACCATTTATTTCCACTGTTCAGTTGTAGGGGTGTTTCCGCTATCAGGCCACCCACCATTTATTTCCACGCTTCAGTTGTTCAGTTGTAGGGGTGTGTTTATAATATTAGAGAAAGTGTTGAGGTAACATATAGTTGAAAAGATGTTGGAAAATAGGCCAGTAGATTTTGTTACAAGGAGAGGGGGGGATTTTTCTTCCCAATGTGTGTTTCCGCTATCAGGCCACCCACCATTTATTTCCACGCTTCAGTTGTTCAGTTGTAGGGGTGTGTTTATAATATTAGAGAAAGTGTTGAGGTAACATATAGTTGAAAAGATGTTGGAAAATAGGCCAGTAGATTTTGTTACAAGGAGAGGGGGGGATTTTTCTTCCCAATGTAATAAACACAATTTCTAGGTTTTTTATTCTGTTATAAGGAGGTAAAGGCATGGTAGTTAGAGCTGCGATCCTACTCATAGGATCGTTCGATTCTACGATTCTGCTAAGCCCGGCGATTTTGCTAAGCGGAAAACTCAGATTTGGGTAGCACGATTCTGCTAAGCCCGGCGATTTTGCTAAGCGGAAAACTCAGATTTGGGTAGCAACGATGGGATCGCCGTCCAAATGCGTAAAATGATGCGTGTCTACTGTTTCTGTTCCTTGTTATTTTTGATGTACTCTGCCCCATTTAATTCCAATTAACTCTCCATTAACTCTCAATTAACTTCTGAAACCCTTTCTAATATACCTACTTCATCACATTAATTTTTTTAAATTTTCTAATATAGCCACCAAATCATTTATTTCCTAAGCCACCTATTTATTTATTCAATAGTCGTTCTCTTCATCCCCTCTTCCTATCCCACTACTTTAAATATACCATAACTCAGTTTTATGATCTCTTGTTATGAATTATGTTTTTGTTGGAAAATAGGCCAGTAGATTTTGTTACAAGGAGAGGGGGGGATTTTTCTTCCCAATGTGTGTTTCCGCTATCAGGCCACCCACCATTTATTTCCACGCTTCAGTTGTTCAGTTGTAGGGGTGTGTTTATAATATTAGAGAAAGTGTTGAGGTAACATATAGTTGAAAAGATGTTGGAAAATAGGCCAGTAGATTTTGTTACAAGGAGAGGGGGGGATTTTTCTTCCCAATGTAATAAACACAATTTCTAGGTTTTTTATTCTGTTATAAGGAGGTAAAGGCATGGTAGTTAGAGCTGCGATCCTACTCATAGGATCGTTCGATTCTACGATTCTGCTAAGCCCGGCGATTTTGCTAAGCGGAAAACTCAGATTTGGGTAGCACGATTCTGCTAAGCCCGGCGATTTTGCTAAGCGGAAAACTCAGATTTGGGTAGCAACGATGGGATCGCCGTCCAAATGCGTAAAATGATGCGTGTCTACTGTTTCTGTTCCTTGTTATTTTTGATGTACTCTGCCCCATTTAATTCCAATTAACTCTCCATTAACTCTCAATTAACTTCTGAAACCCTTTCTAATATACCTACTTCATCACATTAATTTTTTTAAATTTTCTAATATAGCCACCAAATCATTTATTTCCTAAGCCACCTATTTATTTATTCAATAGTCGTTCTCTTCATCCCCTCTTCCTATCCCACTACTTTAAATATACCATAACTCAGTTTTATGATCTCTTGTTATGAATTATGTTTTTTTTATATGCGCATTTATGATTAAACATGCAGTATATATAAGTTTGCAAAATTGGTAGGGTTATGAATTATGTTTTCTTAAATTCACATTGATGATTAAACATGCAATGTATATATGTTTGCAAAACTGGTAGGATCTTAGGATCCGTGTTATGATCCCCCGATTCACGATCCTGTGATCCCTCCCCGATTTTATGTGGGATACTAGGATCTCAATTCTAACTACCTTGGGTAGAGGTAGAGCTAGAAAAAACTATAAGAGAAACTATTAAGAAAGATCTCGAGATTAATGAATTGGATAGAAACATGGTCTTGGATAGAACATTATAATGTAATTTTATTCATGTAATCCCACTTAGTGGGATAAGACTTGATTGTTGTAGTTGTTGTTGTGGACATCTTCACATAACTAAATTTATATGCAAGTGGTGATAAGGAAAACTTATATCAATTTTTATACTAATCATGTAGCTTGACTTGCCTTTTGTTTTGGTCTTTATGCTAGTCTCATTTTTATACTAAGACATTGAATGACTATTTTGACAGCACTTTCTTTAAGAACTTCCACAGAGATCTTGTTCGAATTGTCAAGCACTTATTATCAAAAACAAAATCTTCTGAGGCTATATTTTTAAGTCCAAAAAGAGGCAACTCATTGGACCTGTTCTTGGAGGTGGCTGAAGAAAATGGCCTGCATATCAGTGTAACAGAGAACTACGACAAAGAAGTCTGGAAACGTCATGAGGGGTTCTTGAATGGTGCAGATAGGGACTCTTGGCCAAGTTATGAGAAAGGTCACTGCTATCCACTCTTAATCAGAATCACCCTTTGAACTTTCTTCTAGACATTCTGCCTGTGGCTGGCTTCCTTTCATTGTTGGTTAGCTGCTAAAGTAAAAATCTATTCCTCCCGCAAGGAAATTTCTAGTGCAGACACTTACCAATTGCACGCATATGTAATTTTTTGTTGGGGTCACATCTTCAGTAGACAGTACTATTTTCATGCACGAAGGCTCAAATGAATGTGAAGCAGATGTGACGATTCACGTCAAAAGTGAAGATTATAATATCTGTCCCAAAAGTACATGAGATTATTCAAAACCTTTTTTTAGCCCACTAGGTCTTTATAACCCAAAAGAAAGAAGGAAAAAAAGAAAAAGCAATCAATAGTTCTTCATGTGATATAAAATATTGTTGATAGTGATTAAAATGCTTGCTCAAGTGTGTCTTGATTATGATTAAAAAATGCCAGGTTAGATGAATTCATGTATTGATTGGTTGTGATTTTATTATTGTGACGGTTTCATGCGTTGGCTAATGGTTTCTGCTCTGCAACTTTTGACAGAAAGAAAGTTTCCCTTATCTTCGTTTAAGCGTCATAGTTACAAGTATAAAGCTTTGAGATAAGCAGTCCATTGTGTAAACAAAGCAACTCCACCAATAGGATGACGCTGTACTGTGTCAAAAGATAGCATTTGGTTGTATTAAACTACCAAGTTGAACATTGATGCTTTTTTCTTGTATCTAATAGTAATAGTAATGAGATGTGCTTTGTCTTTGCAGTGATATTATGTATGGACATGACTTAGGATTCTTAGCTGCTAAGGAAGCAACTATTAGTATTAATTTCCATATAATGTTTTGTCGATTGGACTCGTCTGGAATTTGTAACCTGTCAAATTTATTTCTTTTTTCTGAAAAAGATGGTCTAGTAGTGTCTTATAGAAAAGGGCGGGGGCCAGACACAAGCCTTAGATAGTTCATGTTTGGTTATAGTAGTACTGAAGTTGCTCAAAATACACCTATATATTTCTTCAAAATTCTATGAAAATTTGAAAATGCATCTTCGTCCGGATGAATAGTACTGTCGTGCGGTTTGCACGGTTTTGACGTTAAAAGTCGTCCGAATTATAAGAGAAAAACACACGGTTTGGTTGATTTTTAGAAATAAAACCGAACCCCGCACGGTTTTGACGTTAACAGTTGTCTAAATTATAAGAGAAAAAAAACACGGTTTGGTTGACTTTTAGAAATAAAACCGAACCAAAAAAGCTAAACTAATGTGATTTGAATTGGTTGAATTGGTTTGATTTATTACAAGATTTTTATTGAGTTATACATATATAAAAAAAATAATTAATATTATCTTAAAATAAATTTATAATTGTTAAAATAAATTTATAATTTAATGAATAAATATAAATTGTGTATTATAATTTTAATCTTATATCTAAAGAAAATATATGAAATTTTATTCTTAAATAAATTTAAAATACTATTAATATTTTATATATAAAAGGATACAAAATGTAAATTAAAATTTTCTTTTAATCTTATTCTTATTAATGTCAACAAATTAAAAATAAAAACAAAATAAATATATAATAATAATTGTGTTTTAAATAAAAATAATAATATTTATAAATAAATAATTTATTGAGATATAAATTTAAAACAAATATTATATAAAAAACACACATTATATTTGTTGAATTTTTTAAAAAATTAAAAAAATATATTAATTTGTAAGATTTTGTAACATAATGGAATTTTATTTAAAAATGATTCGTATACATCCGAATCAAACGCATTTTTTGTGGTTTTTAGTTTGATTCGATTCATTTATGTTTGAAAGCTATTTTTGACCACACCTTCAACTTTTTCGTAGCAAATTTCTTTGGTTTTGATAATATTTAAGAAGTTCAAGATATTCTCTACATGTAACCGAATAAGAAGTTCAAGATATGAATGATCTGAACGTTAACTTTTGGACATCAGGATTTCTAGAGAAAATTTTAATGGATTTTACTTCGCAATTTCTTGGGGTTGTTACTTCGCAGTAAATTTTGTAGAAATGTGCAAAATTTCCATACATGTGATTTTTTAGCACTGGATGTTAACTTTCAGACAAACTCCTTTAATTACTATTTTTAAGTGAAATAATATAAACAAAATGATATAAGTGTGTCTGAAAGTTAACTTTTTATATAAGGATATTTTTGAACATTTAAAAAGTCCGGAAGAAATATATCTAAGGTGTAATTAAGGTGTAATGAGCAACAAATACATAATAGTATATCTTTGGTGCTAAATAAAAATTTTCTAAATTATTAAAGGGATTCTCGTTAGAGTTGTAAATTTATGAAACTTTTAAAAATTGCGCCTTAATTTTAAAGATCCAAAATTTAAGAGCTTGAAAGGCATAAAAAAATAGATCTCTTACGCGAGGATTTAGCTTACCACTCTCCATTATCCCTAACATCCTCACATATAAAGTGAATCTATCATATTATTCTTGATACATGATCTTACCGGTTGATTAAAATTTGAGGTGGGTCAAAGACAATCGTATGTGATGCTGAGTGTGAAAGAGGAGGAGAGGGGTGTACCTGCAATGCACTCCGATACTAAAATAAGAAAACGAGCAAGAGAGGGAGAGAAAATACAGAATATGAGTATATCAGGACAAATATTGGATACCTGACCCTCTCAAGTGAGAGGGTTTTTATGATGCTTGGTCATTGGTCCCTATTTTTGGGGCAAAATAATCGTTTCCCGAAGAATAGGTAACTGGCAGAACTAGCCGTTGTAACGGGCAGACGTGCCCCATAACTAGTCGTTGCTACGGGAAGGGGCGTAGTTATGGGCACATACGTCTTGCATGTTTCTGGATGGTGGGACCGTTCGTGACGGGCAGGGAATGACGAAGAGAAGTGATGTGGCCAATGATAAATTGGTCAGCCTCCTCTGTTGGGCTTAGGCAATTGGGTCAGTCCGGAACAGTAGCCCCCCAAGTCGTTGCTACCGAGCATGGTAGTGATGACTTAAGGAAAATCTGCTTCTCGGGCATAGTTGTCGTAAGCTACCTTGTGCCTGAAGGAATCTATGCCCGGGCATCTGAAACATTGTTTACTGGTGTAACACCCCAAATTTAATCAGAATATGTTAATTAATTATTTAATTGAGAATATTCATGTTTCGGTGAATTTTCCGGTGGTTTTGTGAATATTGGAAAGATGTGCATTTTTGGGTATTTATTTGATTAATAACATATAATACTAATTTATTAGTATTATTATTAATTAAATGGAATATAAGTGAAATAAGGGCAATTTGGACATTTGAGGGAGTTAGTAAGGGTAATGAGGGAAAAACCTAATTTGTGAGGCCCAAGACTAGGTTGGACAAAATTGAGTTCTGAAAGGGAATTTGAATTCATTTTGTGTTAACCGTGAAAGTTTGGTGGCCAGAGTTCTGAAGGAAAGGTTGGAGGCAGAAGATCCTGAAGTTAATCGTGAAAGCTGCGAATCGACTAAGGTATGAGGAGTATCGCTGTTCATGATTTTCTAGGTATGCCTTTCAATGTGTTTATGGTTGGTTTATGTGGTTTATGATTTAAGGTATTTGGGGTTGGCTTGGGAAAATAGGGAATTTGATGATAAGGCTTTGAGGTTAGGGGTAATGGTATGTAACACTGAATATTGATATGAGAATGGAAACCTTAGCCTTCGTGACCAAAACCTTGGGTTGTGATCTGTTTGACCCTATAGGAATATGAATGTTCAAATGTGAGTAACTCTAATGTACTCAGAGCAATTGCAGGAAAATAGTGATTTAGGCAGTGCAAATGTTGCCAGATTGGCCTAATAAACCATAGATTTTGTGTCGTTATCGCCGTATGATCTTAGGGATGATTTAGGGAGGATTTGAGGGCATTGGGTAAGTGAGTCGTATGAGTATTTGGACAAGAATCAGTTCTGGTCGTAACAGGTTTTTGCTGTCATCGCTCTGTTCACCTAGCGAGCAAGCCAGCGAAGGTTCGCTACCAACTCGCCTAGCGAGCAAGCCAGCGAAGGTTCGCCACAGACTCGCCTAGCGAGCAAGCCATCGAACATAGCAGAGTTCGCGAAGTTGATTGTTTGGTAGCGATGCCTTGATGTGTAATTCTGGGATTTCTGGGATGGATTAACCCGAGTATGACAGTAGGTTTTGGGTGATGTGTACATGATGTTATGATAGTTTTCTATGATGTATCGATTGAGTTAATATGATGAAATTACCATGATTTGATGAACTATGTGATAACACGAGATATGATGATTTTATGTGATGATAATGAGTATGACGAATGGTGATGCACCATATGTTGTATTGTGAGGATTATTATTGTGACGTGTGCATCATGCATTCATGTGCATACGAACTTCGGTTCAGGACCTCGATTGCTTTGGCTTCAATCCCACTGTGTGGATGTGAAGTATGTTGATGTGCTCCGATCCTATTGATGGGGATCTATGGAGGGTTGATGGCCCAGTGTCCATCGCGCTGTGACGATTGGTACCACATGCATTGAGTCTATGTTGCATTTGCATTAATGTGCCTTTGTGTATAAATTATGACGTTGTGGCCTTTGAGACATATTTGAGGATATGAATGTGTTGAATATGATTATGATACCGTTTATGTATTAATTGTTATACATTGATTATTATGAATTGGTTTACTCACCCTGCTTGTTTGAATGTTACCTCTACGTGGGTAACGTGCAGATGATCCAGTTTAGCCGTGGACGCCGGCGAGGAGTTAGTTTGAAGTTTTTGAGTGTTTTAGTCTTTTGGTCAGCCTAGAGGGTCTTACTCTGATATGTAACATCGGGTTGGGTTCCTTGAGTTGATTTTATACTGTTGACGTTATTTTGATTAATTTCCCTTTTTGAGGAAAACTTTGAGTTATGTTTTGAGTTCCGCTGTTAATGATGTTTTGATGTATTTTGGGAAAAACCCGTAGTTACGGAGTATGAACCTATTTTGATGACTTTGAGAAATTTACGCCT